CATCTATTCACGGATTTATAATAAATTATTACTTCTTGTTATTCTTAGCAAACTATATAAAAGAAAAAATTATGCCAAGTACATCCTAAATTTCATCAATTATCTACTAATAATAATGTCATATCACAATCTTTCAGATTAATTTGTATACATACTTTCTCATTTGTACGATGCAGCAAGCCTTCGTAGCTGGTGAATTGGCTTTTGGTGGTAAATTCTTTTAGTATTTCTGATGTTTTTGCGCCCCATACGTAAGGTATGACCGGGTCTTCMGTTCCGTGACATTGGAATATTGGAATATTGGTGTTGTTTGTGGCTGCCTAATAATGAAAAACAACAAACAATATTTAACATAGAAATTTGGGTGATATTAATAGCGCATCACAATAGTAGGTACCATTTCCTGAGTACTATGAAGTCTTTTCTCAAAAAATTCAAATTCGCATTATGTATACCAATTATTATGATTGGTTATAGTTGACAGCTTTATTATATTTTCGAGGTTAGAACGAAATGTTCACTATGGGAAATCAAAGTMATGTTCTATCTAAAATCATCAGTCGTCAAGTCATATTTAAGTTCAACTGCTTAATTATCAAGGACGATCTCATGAGCTTTTATTTTTAAGTATATAGTTTATGGTAAAAATATTGTGGCCTATCTGATGTGTGAAAATTATTTACACTATCAAGGCCGATCTTATGAACTATTCGTAKAAATAACTAGTCAGAAAGACGGTACAGTGTAGGTAGATGAAGAATTTTTAAAAGTTAATGATTTTTACACAAGTATAATTTTCAAAATTCATTCTAATGAAGCACATTTTATTTCGTCTTGAAAAATTGGAAAAATTTGAAACATATCGTCCCATCGGGAATCGCCAGTAAGTGCACACTAATCTACTTTAATGATCGTATGTGTTAGCTTTTATTTTATTCATCACATACAAKAAATTTCGATTTTGTAAACTATGATAAAATATATAACTCAACTCCAATTCGCCAGTAGAAGTTCACTTAAACAACATTCACTGAAAATAATTAGGAAAGTAATATATGTTTTATCTCATTGTTTATTTTCTCTAAAGTGTATTTCCATTTAGGTACTTACTTACCATACACAAAACAATTATCGTTTACTTAATTAATT